ATAAAGAATGACCAGGCTTGAAAAGGAGAGATTTTATCGCAGAGCACCCACTGTAGCGTTGTGCGTGTATGCAAAGCACTATTCATGGTGGAAAAACTGACACAGCAGGTCACTCTGAACTCTGCATCTCCATGCTGAACCATGGAGGTGGCAGGAGACCAATGTTATGGTTGCCCTGGACACAACCACTGAAATAAGTACATCAAAGTGTGGCAAGATCTTAATAAAAACAAATGCTAACTTTATCAGATCTTGTTGCAAATGTCTGTGGAAGGTACTAACATTTACAAACTGTGATATGTCAATTTAAAATGTTATGATTTAAGCCCAAATAAAATATTAACATCTGAGTTGTTGGGGCTGATTGAGCTATCTGATTAGAGTTTTTCTTCAATTTCATGCTGCAGATTAGCCTGATAAACCAGACTAAATGTGAGATTAAATATGTGATTTAGTCTGGCCCCGATGAATGAGACATTGGAAGATTGTTGATGAGAACAACCCGTTGTTTTTCAAACCATGTCTGTGCCTATTGGCCAACGCTGTGACGTAGTAAGCGCGACAGAAAGCTGGTGGGGGAGTCCTTCATAAAAATTAATGAGTGTAGAGCCTCTTCCTGCTCACATTTCAACAAAAACCCCAAGTCTAATCCTTCCAAAACTGATTCCAAGGCTGAGTCAAATGAGAATTGTTTAATAGTTGTTGCCATCTTCCTTGTGCTTTCTTTAACGTTGTGCAGCTTTGTCGTCACGCCCTCAAACCCCCGCCCGCTTTGCATCCTAAAGTTCAAAACGCATCTCTGCGTTGTGATTGGCCCGCCAGTTCTAGGGCCTGAGGCATTGATCGAGGCTAGACCACTTGCAGGCAAAAATAATTTTGGCCACTGGCGAATGGGGCTAGTTTACTATGCTAACTGCAGATAGTTTATTCTGTTTTTCTCCCATTAAGTTGCAGCAACCTGCTTTCTTAGCAACATCAACAGCTGTCAGCTTTCTAAGGATTATATGTGTTTGAGGAATTTATATTTTGGACAGATCTCCTATTAGATTAATTCAATGCCACATTCTTTAAAAGTGGAATATGATCCACTTTATGTCAAATTTTGTTATAACTTTCAGAGAGCTCAGGCTGTTCAGTGACTCTGTGGTTCCTCTCAGATCGGCAGGTTTAGTAACTTTTAACCCATCCAGCAACAATTGTAAGATAATTTTTAAACCTGTTTTGGTCAAACGGTTTTTGTTGTTGTTTTTATATGCAAGTCTATAATATATTGATAATTAACCTGAGGACTTGAAACTGATAGCAGGCTGCCACATGCCCAGATAAATACAGAAGCGGTTTCTCAGAGGACAGTCGGCACTTGATGCTTTTAGGGTGGTCCTTTTCTATGATATGTTATCTCTCCATTCGTTTTTACTCTCGGTTAATGTATTCATTATTAATAAAGGACCATTTAAATACATGCTTTGCAAATATTAAAAATCTGCTCCTAAATGCTGAATCTTCAGCCTATTTCTCAGGCTAAGAAGTATAAAATATGAATAAATGGTTTTACAAACATACCCTTGCTGCCGGGACTTCAATCTGCAATAAGATTCAGAAGACTCTATCTAGACTAAAGGGTATTTTTCATTATGGTAAAATATTTTCCAAACCATCGCCACCTTTTCTTTGGCTTTACCTTTATGTTCTATTAAGTTGGTTAATTCCGTGATATGATTACATGGTAGTTAGTGCTGTAGTTGTAATTAAATCATTCAGTCAAGCAGTGTCTTTTTTTACCAGCAAGTACTTTGAAAGATATTAACAGATGGAATTATATTATATACATCAATGTATATTACTTCTCTAGAGTTGGTGGGTAAACATAAAAGATTGGCTATATCAAACATATGTAAATGTTTAGTTTAGTTGTTGCATGTGTGTTAATTAAAAATAGTTATTCCACTCAAGTGTTTTTTAGTTTACAGAAGATGAATATCAGCAGATGAGTATTACAGTCTTTACTCCCCTTTTGTCCGCAGTTTTTTTTTTGTCACTTAAAAATGATGTGATTTTTGAAATAAAAAATGGGACCTCTAATGCAAAGAAGTTTTACATTTACATGCACCATTTAGTTTAACTTTGGACAAAAGTGTAAATTGGGAGTGCTATATTTGGAATATTAGGCACTCTTTGTCCACAGACTGGTAGCACCCATGCACTTTAAAACAATTCATAGTGCACCTAGTGTTTGCATTAATGTTATAAAATCTAAAAACACTCCAGGCTAGATTTACCTTCAATTGTCTCTATTCTAAATGTAAATTCAGGCTGTAACTTCACTAAGAACTCCATTTACTGGTTAAAAAAGATGATGCCTAAAGGTGGACTGCATCACATGCACATGACTCTCAAACTAAAATAAAGTGAACCCTGGCAACCTTACTCCCTGCTAATGTGTCCTTGAGCAAGTCACCCAGCTCCCACAGCAGCTCATGCAGAGGTGCTCTGAAGCCAGTCCCTGACCTCTGACCTCTTTGAGGAGGGTAGTGGACACAAAGAGGGATTCTCCCTGCGGGGATTAATAAAGTATCCCATTATCATTTGAATGCAGCTGATTGTATCTTTGTGAGTCTACATTTCATCCTGCAGAAGCTTTTCTGCAGCAATACCCAACGTGACCTCCCTGTCTCCTGTATCCATCGGGAGAGGGTCTGTGCACCAAATGTCATATGATAAGAAACAGTCGTTTTATCTTGTATACCTCCCTGCTTGCTATTCATCTAATGAATGGATTGCAGCTGTTCTAGCTACAGTTTGTTCTTCTGTTGCCTGGTTTGTAAACTGCTTTTATACACATGAATTTGACGTAAGTTTGGGTTGCCATTATGAGGCAAAACCTTTTGATATCTTATTAGAGGGAAACTTTTGACGGGAAGAAAGCTCTGCCTCCAATATAACTACAACTACTTTTTTTTTTGTACAGAGCAATAAAAGATGAGTCCTGGCGACAATTATTGTTGGAAAAATACACTATAAAACAGCTTTAATGCCCTTTTATTTATCATTATTCAAGGCTATCTCTGCAAAAGGGGTTGAATAAAGTGCATGATATACCGTTGCATAAATCCTAAAATCACATTTTTAAGCTCATATGTGGAAAGAAAAGAAGTGCATGAATGATTATTCTAAACATATTTTACTTCAGAGCTGTTTGACAAAATAAAATAGAAACTCATTTTGCCATAGAGACAAAAGTATGCACTCAAATCTTTCAGCTCGTTTTTGAATATAAAAAGTCAGTTTTGTTGCAGTGCTATTGCACAATACCAAAATACTTAAAAAAAAAAGAAAAAAAAGAAGCAACTTTAAAAACAGCCAACATTGACATTTTCTGTATGTCCCTGTGGTCAACAATCCCTCTTGTTGGCCTTTATCCTCAAATCCCCATGGACAGAGAGTCAGGAGGGAGAGAATGCTTAAATGCTTTGAATGGTGGTGTGGAATGCTAAAAGGAAGACTGTGTGTGGTGTGTGTGTGTGTGTGTGTGTGTGTGTGAGGCGGGGGGATGTGTGGCGGTGCTGGTAAGGTCCCCTGCCTGGTCTGGGATCTGGTATGCGTGACTGAACAAGAGAAGGAGAAAAGCAAGAAAAAAAGCCCAAAAACCTATGTTGCTAACTTCTAAAAGCAGACAATGGCAGCTGAGCAGGCCTGGCAAGCCCTGTTTAACTGTGGTATGTGTCACTTTACACACAGGCCATGTCCTGATGGAAAGCAGTCAGAGAAAACTTGCATGTAGCTGCAAAGACGCTGCTTGAACAATTCAAACAAAGCACCACAACCCCCTAAAAGGTTAAAACAAAAACATCTGGGAAACTTTACTTTATTAAACACTACCGTTAATGTGCTTTTATTTTTTCCTACTTTGTACCTTCTGGATCCATCTGCAAATAACTAGACTTTGAAGCTTCAAAAAAAAGAAATCAGCAATGCAGAACGGTCTATAATAAACAACATGGTGATAATTAATTACACAGGCACTGCAGCCAAATCAAGACGGCAAGCATCCATTTTGAGCCTCCTCATAAATAATAAAACAAAGATTTTTTTTTGCTTTTGTTCAAGCCCTTTAGATGAGCAGGACAATGGTTCTAAATATGTGGGCAGCTATTTGGAATAGTGCATTAAAATAATAAAAGGCCATATTGTTATGAAGTGTAGAAGAGCTCATTGAGGAGGAATTTAAAACACACAAATAATCCACACCACTGATTCATTAATTATATAAATATCTTTTAATGTTTTTAACCGTAAGAATATAAAACAATTTCATTTGGGATTCTGCATTCTTTTTCTTTACAAACACATAATATACAGTACATCTCTTCATTGTCAAAGACACCCACACACACAGAGCTTCTTCAGCAGGACGCACGTCCGTTTATATTCATCTTCTAGCAGGTCATTGCATTACAATAAAAAATGCGCACACACTGGCGTCAGTGTGCGCGTGTGCATGTGTGTACAGTCTAAATCTGCATGTGTTTTTTGGAAAGGAGGGACGGTGAGATGAGAAAAAGAAGATGTATATTCTGCTCATTGCAAACCCAAAACTCGAGGGAGAAAGGAAGGAAAAATAATCGATTTGCTATTTATTCTAAGCCTGTCTGAGGATTGATTTGAAGGGTACTTTTATTCAGAGATGATCAGGGTACGAATGAGGGGGGGAAAAAACACACAAACTGCACCAGTAAGGGCAACATGAATATGAATGCGTCCATGCTAATGTGGGAAAATAAGAGCACAAGACAAACCCTGATTAGCTGCGATTAATAAAGGGTAAGAAATAGAAAACACTTCAATTTGAAGTACTCTGAACACTCATCTCCACCAGCGTCCCTTACAGAAATACCTACAAGGTGTAACATAACAGTTAATGGACCCTTCTCTGTGTCGTCGTTAGGCATGGGTCGGCTCAAAACCGCAAAAATGTCATTTACAATAATTCCCCCCCCCCCCCCCCCAATTTTAAAAACATTTGGCCAAATAGCGCACACAGTAATGCAACACCGTCCCTGCATCACCTTTTAATGCAGACTGCCCATCAGCTGGCTGAAAAAACACATAAATTTCTCTTTGTAGGACACATTTTTCTTTTGGGAAATAAACTGCCTTTTAATGGCAATGAAGCTATAAATAATCAACAGCCATGAAAAAAACCTTTTATCGGATGCACTGATTAAAGTTTCTACAGGACGATACTGAACTCTGATTAGGTTAAAGGCTTGACCTGCCAATTACAGTTTTCACGTCCTACTATTTACTTTGACTTTAAAATAATTATAAAATGACCATTGAGGAATATTTGTAGTTACAAACAAACCCTGTCATGGTGTAGAAACTCTACTAGCGCCATCTATGGTGCTGACTATTAGTAGGTTTCTCTAAATGATGAGACGATCAGGCTTTTATTCGCAAATTCTGATCTCTCATCATTGAAATTTGTGGCCTAACCTGCCAATTATTTTATTTAAAGACTGAAATAAAATAAAAATCATCAAATATTTTTTACCAACTAAAGCTTGGTAAGGTCCCCAACATTGATGCAAATTTTAAATAACTAAAGTCGATTAAAGTACAAATACTTTTATTGAAGCATCAAGTTCTTAGTTTCTTTTTTATTTATATTCTATATTTAATCCAAGGATCGAGTAGAAATCTGCCAATTTCTTTCTCTGATCAGTACATCTGTTTGCTCTACATCTATACATGTCGTTCATAGTTGTATGATTTTAATATAATACGGATATTTGTTGCTGTACTTTTTTTATTTAAAGAAGTGTCTCGTATTTGTTTTTAAATGTACTAGAATCTTATACCGGCCCATGCCTATTTATATTAAACAATTATAGGTATTTTTGCCAGGGGGAGGTATGCTCATAATCCTGCCAAAAAGGACATTAAAGTTGGACTTTATCCTTGAAAGAATGAAACAAACACACAATAAGAAACCTTTTTGCTCCATGTATGATTTGGGGAATTTTTTTCGTGAAGCAAATTTGGACTGAACTCCACAGAAAACAGGAGCTGTTTATAGGGTTAAATTAACAAAGGTAGTCAGATTGCGTACTGGTCTCCTTTCACTGGCTCTTCTCATGGAAGAAGGGAGGGAGGGAGGGAGGGAGGAATGGGGGAGGGGGCAGCTCCAGTCCCTTTAGGCACATTTTCTACCAGTCTCTCGTTTCTCAGCTTTCCTCTGTCTTCTTCTGTATACATCCTTTTGAAAAGCAACCACATACGAGGTAGCCAAACGTTTATTAGGCGTGATGGCTGTAGCGGAAATTAGTCGTCAAATCTGGACTCGTAGCAAAAATAAATCTAAGTTTGGACAACCTTTCTTCGCTTTGAATATTAAAAAAAGATTTTTGATGTATGGATGTAAATAATTTAAAATTTGATGAGAAAATTAAATATTACAACTTAAGCTGCTGCAGCTCAGGTCAGATTTCTTGGGATATTGTAACTCTAATTAGTTAACATCTCAAAACAACCTTTTAAGTGATTTCTACTTGGAAGATATTAAGTTTTATATTTAAGATGTGGGCAAACAGAATGGAAAGTTAAAAAGCTGAAAAGAAAGAATGATCTGGTCTAACGGAAGAGGCTCACCTTCCACAGGAGCTTTCAGGGAGGGGTTTCCTTTTTTTTTTTTTAATAAAAGAAAATCACCTCTGCTATTCAACCCGACTCCTGCTCCTGGTGACCCCTATCCACCCAAAAATAAAACCCAAACACGCGCACGCACACACCAAAACACTCCTAATCACCTGACTTTCTCACTTTCTGTCATCTGCCAGAGTCCCAGGTTCAACACTTTAAGGCAGGGGAGCTGCGTGATTCGCTCCAGTCCCCTCTTGGTGATCTTGGTACATCCATACAGGTCAATGCCCACCAACTGGGTCAGGTGGTCAGCTATGAGCTCCAGCCCTTTGTCTGTGATGCGCACGCACTGACCAATGTTCAGGGTCCTCAGTTCGTGCATCTGCCTCACCATCCGGTTTATCCCGTCGTCTGAGATGTGACAGGAGCACAGGGACAGGGACTTGAGCTGGTACAGTCCCTGAGCTATGTATGCCAGAGTCTGGTCCCCGATCTTGTCACAGAAGGAGACATCCAGCCCGGAGAGTCTAAGGGTGCCCATGGCAAGGTGCATAGTTCCCGTGTCGCTGATGTTGTCGCAGGAGCGCAGATTGAGGCTCCAGAGGGAGGTCATGTGGGACAGGTGGATCATCCCGGCGTCCGAGATCCCCCCACAGAAGCTTAAATTCAGCACCCGCAGCTTGGTCAGCCCCTTGGAGATGTGTTTGAGTGACAGGTCTGTCAGCTTCTGACAGTCTTGGAGGGTGAGGTACTCCAGGCTTAAGCAGCCCTCCGCTGCACTTCGGGTCATGCCCGCCAAATGTCCAATCCCCACATCTGAGACATGCCTGCAGGACCTCAGATTGAGGCTCTTTAGTCTGTGGAGGCCCCAGGCTATCAACAGAAGCCCGGTGTTTGTGATGTTGCTGCAGCCACCGAGCTCCAGCACCTCCAGGTTCTTTAGATACTGGGCGATCCGACCCAGACTGGAGTCTGTTATCTGCTTGCAGAGACTTAGGTTCAGAACCCTAAGTGACGGGATCTCCTGGACAAATGCATGTCCCAGCCCATTATCTGTTAAGTTGTAGCAGCCAGACAGGTTGAGGGACTCTATGTTGGGCATCCCCTGGATGACATAGCTGAGGCTGCGGCGCAGGGACAGGATCTGGACTCTCCGGATCCCCCTGGCTTGGAGGCTTGGGAACAAGGAGGGATTTGCTCTGCGGAGATGCAGCTTGGCTTCTACCCCCCTCCACACTGACTTGTGGTAGGATGCGTCCCTCCAAGCGATGCATACTTGGGCCACCCTGCCTTTGTCCCTCACATCCAGGTAGCTGAAGATCATGGCCAAAATTTCTGGGAAGAGGCACGAAATGTGCGTCTCCATTGTTTTTCAAAACCCAGGCATATAAGAAGCAATACCCCTGACCTCCAAGGCTGAAAAAAAAACAACACCTTCTGGACTTGGAATGATGCAAAAGTAACAGCAGTCCCAGTTACTCCCCCCCAAAAAAGTAGAAAAAGATGAGTCTGGTGCTACTCTTGTTTTTTGTTGGGGTTTTTTTTAACTCCTACTTTCAATCCAAACTGTGCAAAATCGATCCAACTCTCTCTGGTGCCACGTGATCCGCTCTGATTGCGCAGCAGGATTCAAATGGATATTTTTAAAGCAAAACGGACAGAAAAACGTTAATTCCGGCTTGAACCCTCGGCTATCCGCCAAAAATAAAGGAGCCGGGGGAAAAAAGGGGGCGACGGGAAGGAGAGGAGGAAAAAGCGTCAATCCGTCCCCCCTCTCTCCCTCTTCTCTCAGACGACGCTTCCTCGTATTTTACCCACAGAAAGCCTTCCTCCGGCGGCCGAGCGGGGATCCAGACGGTCGTACATTTCAGAAGGAGGAAGTAAAGCGCCGAAGCGGGAGTCTTAGCGCCGCTGGTTACGGGGCAGCTCCATGACAGAGTGGAGGGGGGAGAGGAAAGCGGAAAAGATGGGAGTTTATGCTGGCTTTGTGGGCAGAGTGAGAGGCAGAGAGGGGCGTCCTGAGCTCAAAGCCTTTGTCTGCTCTTTTCAAACCGACTTGGCAGGAAACCCGGTACTCTGGCAACACCGGAGGGGTCGACAGTAGAAACGATGCTCACATTCACTCCTCAAAATTGCTTTACATATCTAAAAACTACTATATTTGCTTAATAAATGTTAGTATTTAATCTGAACAATATTTAGTGTATTTTCTAATCGCCAGAGTGTGAGTTTATTTTGTATTTAGGACCGAGCACCCCTATCCCCTCCCTGTGAAGCAGTTGGTTTGTCCCGCCTCAGCTGGAACGGTGCGAACAGTTTCCCTTGGAAACCAACTTCTTACAATTCAGTTCACTTTGGGGTTTAACCCTTCAAACGGACCACACAGGAAACTGAGAAGCGTCAACCGGACAGTCGGCTTTTTAACTGTGTATTTATTGTAAAAATCGGTTTTCCTCCACATTTCTTATTTGTATCGTTGCTTTGAGGAATTCAACCAAACGGCCTAAAAACAGACATAGGTTCTTTGTTTCAGTCCTAGTCTGAGGCTTTGCCTGATAGAATAAAATCAGATAAAGTTGCAAAGACTATAAAAACATTGAGTTTTATTCTTATTTTTTAAAGTTTCGATAACTATAAGGGGAGAAAGAATATATTTTGAAAATTACTGAATGGGACATCTTGAATAGAGGTTTATCCATAAATCTATTTCTTCATAATCCCCTCACCCATACATTTTATTTCAATTGTTTTTTATTTGTCTTTAAGTTACTGACAGGTGAAAAGACGAATAAACAATAAATCAGAATTCAAAAAAGTAAGATTTTTTATGAGTTTTTTTCAGCCGCAAGACCCTCAAATAATTTATTTTGTTTAAGGAACTTCAAAACAGAATAAAAGTATTACAGGCCATAAGCTGTTATGCATTATATCTAAATAATGTGGAGTTATTCAAGCTACAGTTCAAATCTATCAACATTCACATTCTTGCTGAAGATGCATAAAAACACTTAAACCTCTGTGCATTTGCACCGGTTTTAGGATTGTTTCCTAATTCTTTTTGGAACATACAAATAATAAAACCCAGGTGAATGTTTTTCTTCTATAGCACTTTACAATATTTGGCTAATAGCCCTCATAAGCACACACAAATAAGTGCCTTGCCCAGACTAGCATGCACATACTGCTGGGATTGAATCCAAAACTTGCAGACTGGCAGCATAGTGACTGCTCAACATAGGGAGCCTCAACTACACTGCAAAAAAGATCTAGAAATAAGTAAAAATAAGTAAAAAAAAAAATATCTTAAATCAAGTGTACCCTTAATTTGAGTAGATAAAGGAGATGATTTGACAATGGAATGAGTATTTTTAAGCTCATCAGCAGAGGGAGGCATGACAGACTCTATAAATGTCATGGTAGACGGGTCTAAATAATTGCAAACTTGGATTCTGTGCCTTTGCTTTAAAAACATCTCAAAACTGCAACCATCTCTGTTGATTTTGCACCTTGTTCCTCCACAGTTTTTACTTCCACTTTCTATTGATGTTTGGAGTCATCACTTCCTAAACAGTTAGCTTCTTTAGAAATAACCTATTGTGGCCAGTTTATTAGAATATATTCTTTCATTTTTATAGTCCTATACTGTTATTTTCTAAATGTAGTTAAAAGTAAACGGTCTAGATCACTTTGTAATAAATCTATAAAAGAGTCACTTTTCAAATTGAATTATTTTTATTTATTAATTAAACTATGAATGATATTTAATTGTATTAAGATGAAACATAATAGAAAGATTAGCGTCTCATTGTTTAATTTATAAAAACTCATATCTGTAACTTTTTACAAATTTATGTGGAAAATTATAAAACCAAGCAATACTGAAAGATCCTAATTTTATAACAACCATAACTGTTGAAGGAAGACAGTGACATCTATGTTTATAAAAACAAAAGCTCTCCATGTATTCATTCAGACTGTTGCACATAAAAGTGAATTAAGCATCGCTGTTCTCTCACCTGGCATCTAGAAACCTATTTTTTGGGCTCCGTAATTCCTGATATTCTAAAAAATAAATAAAAATAACGGTCGAAAGCTGAAATATTAATGAATTCCGACCAATCTTTACCTTGTTACTGTAATTCAAATCCCAGCATAACATAATTTTGAAAATGGCACCAAATAATGTCTTCCTTATTTAGCACTGAAAGTATTCATTAGCCCGTGCAGCCTATTTTTAATCCTTTTATGCTATTTTGAAAATGACCTATTAATAGATTTCTAATGTTGCATAATAGATCAGTTTAGAAGAAGATATTTAAAGTAAAAAAAAAAAAATCTCTTCTTGGAGTGTAAAGACCATTAGGGATTTATCACTCTCATGAGTTATATTCTGCACTTTCATCAAGGGCGAAAACAAAGCAGCTAACTGCACTGTCCCTCATGGCTGGCAACACCTACGTCCTTGCTATTCAGGGGCAGAGTGCGTCATGCATTTTCAAAATAGCAGTCCTGACATGAATACCAAGCTTTATAATGACGGAGCAAACACCTTGGGTGAGAGAGTCACTCCGGCTCCCAGCACAAGATGCTCGGACTGTGGTTGATTCTGGTCTGTTGGATGTACCTTCATAGATTTAAACAGGCATGACGTGTTTTGCCTGACATGAATGGTCTGTAAAAGTTCAGTTCAGTTTTTCAGTTCAGTTTATTTATATAGCGCCAAATTCACAACACATGTCATCTCAAGGCACTTTACAGTTCAACCAGATCATACAGTCAAATTGATACAAAGTTTTCTATCTAAGGAAAACCAGCTGATTGCATTGACTCATTGACTCAAATACAATCCCCCACACTAAGCATGCTTGTAGCGACAGTGGAGAGGAAAAACTCCCTTTTAACAGGAAGAAACCTCCAGCAGAACCAGGCTCAGTGTGAGCGGCCATCTGCTGAGGCCGACTGGGGTTCAAGGAGACAGAAACAGAGATACAAAAAGCAGCTGTAAAAGGCGGCCCCGTCCAGGAAACACACAGCCAGGCAGACGAGCTCCAAGGCAGCTCCCATGCCAGAGGACGAAGAGAGCACATCCACTCAGTCACGGCCAGAGAAACAGGACCACACTGGAAAACAGGCCGATCTCCAACATCTATAAACAAGGGTGTTGATGGAAGCAGCACAGCTGATGTTTCTTTCCAGGATGACGTCACAGCCAAACAGGAACAGACGAGGCAAAGCTACTCTGAGGAAAAGCAGAGAGAGCAGAAGGTTAGAGATTGAACTAACAGATTCTGCAGAATAGGAGAACAGAGAGAGAATGAAGCAGAATGGTGAAATGGGGGTCCCTATGTCCTCCAAATGTCTAAGCCTATAGCAGCATAACTATAGAGATAGCTCAGCAGCATAACTATAGAGATAGCTCAGGATAACCTGAGCCACCCTAACTATAAGCTTTATCAAAAAGGAAAGTTTTAAGCCTAGCCTTAAAAGTAGACAGGGTGTCTGCCTCACGGACTAAAACTGGTAGTTGGTTCCACAGGAGAGGAGCCTGATAACTAAAAGATCTGCCTCCCATTCTACTTTTAGAAATTCTAGGAACCACTAGTAAACCTGCAGATTGAGAGCGAAGTGCTCTGTTAGGAACATAAGGAACAATCAGATCTCTGATATAAGATGGTGCTTGGCCATTTAAGGCTTTATATGTGAGAAGGAGGATTTTAAATTCTATTCTTGATTTAACAGGAAGCCAATGAAGAGAAGCCAGGATAGGCGAGATATGATCTCTCTTTTTAATTTTCATCAGAACCCTGGCTGCAGCATTTTGGATCAGCTGAAGGCTTTTAACTACAGTTTGTGGACTTCCTGATAGTAAAGAATTACAATAGTCCAGCCTTGAAGTAACAAATGCATGGACTAGTTTCTCAGCATCACCCCTGGACAGGATATTTCTAATTTTTGCAATGTTCCTCAGATGAAAGAAGGAAATTCTAGAAACCTCTTTGATATGGGATTTAAATGACAGGTCCTGATCAAAAATAACACCAAGATTTTTTACTTTATTATCTGAAATCAGTTTAATCCCATCCAAATGAAGTGACTGGCTAATCAGTTTCTTTTTCAGAGACTCTGGTCCAAAGACTATAACTTCTGTTTTATCTGCATTCAGAAGCAGAAAGTTAAGAGTCATCCAGGTTTTTATGTCTTCAAGACATGCCTGTAATCTATGTAATGGGTTAGCTTCATCTGGATTTATAGACAGATATAGCTGGGTATCATCAGCATAACAGTGGAAATTAATCCCATGCTGTCTAATAATTCTACCAATTGGGAGCATGTATAAAGTAAAGAGAATTGGTCCTAGCACTGATCCCTGTGGTACTCCACAGGTAACCTTTGAGCGTGTTGAAGATCTATCATTAACATGAACAAACTGAATTCGATCAGATAGATAAGATTTAAACCAGTCTAGTGCTGTTCCTTTAATTCCAACAAAATATTCAAGTCTTTCTAAAAGAATATTATGGTCAACTGTATCAAATGCAGCACTAAGATCCAACAGGACGAGCACAGATACAAGTCCATTATCTGAGGCCATGAGAATATCATTAGTGACTTTCACCAGAGCTGTTTCAGTGCTATGATGAGCTCTAAAGCCAGACTGAAACTCTTCAAAAAGTTCATTATGGTGTAAGTGATCGCAAACTTGTTTGGCAACTACTTTCTCAAGAATTTTGGATAAGAAAGGAAGATTGGATATAGGTCTATAATTGACCAAGTCATCTGGGTCAAGAGACGGTTTCTTAAGCAGAGGTTTAATTACAGCAACCTTAAAAGCTTTAGGTACATATCCCTGTAACAGAGATAGATTAATCACATCTAAAATGGAGGAGGAGATCAAAGGGAATACCTCCTTAAATAACCTGGTTGGAACTGGATCTAACATACAAGTTGAAGGCTTAGATGAAGACAATAATTTTGCTAATTCAGAGAGTTCAACTGGATCAAAGCAGTCTAAACCCGGTTCAGATTCCATGACTACCTCAGGTACA